TAAAGAGTTGAATTGTTTTTTGGCTATTTGAACTGCCTCAAATCGTTCATTTCACTCTAGTCTTCCCGTTCTCGTTGTCGTCCTCGTCCTCCTCCGAACTTTCATCGGAGCCATAATAGTCCTCGTAACTGTCATCGTAGTTCTCCTCTCTTACCACACAACCATTATCCGTATCACCTGAAAGTGTTGGTCTTGCTTGAGATTTTGGCTGCTTTCTAGAAATTTTTGTCATTTTCATTCGTCATTTCAGTAGCATTCGACAATTTTGAATGAGTTCATGACAAGATTGATGAGTTATGTAGCTTATCTTTTTGAAATTTGCATTATAATGAAATCGGATTCATAACGATTTCGAAAAAAACGAAAATTTTACGGTTAATCTTTCACTTACACGTCGATTTTTGACATGAGAAGTAGTTTGCGTTGTATTTCGTGCACTCACTCGGTACCCAGCTGGTCTTACCATCAGCGCCCACTTTGGCAATTACACAAACTTGTCCGTTCACATTGAGCGTATCGTTCCAAAGTGAGAAACTTTGTGCAGAAAGCTGAAAATTATGGAGTGTTTTTCGAGCACTTCATAGCGATCACATTCAAAAACGATCGCAAACACACTCAAAAACAACCGCAATCAGAAACACATTGAATTTGAAACCACTCATTAAATTAGGAATTATAAAGTGTTTTTGTGAGTAACGATACTGAATGATATGAAAAATATCAGTGAGATCCGAAAGATGCGATTCCAGCATGGCAAAATTTACATATGATGAAATTGATTACACGGAGTACATCGTTCAAATTCTTTCATACAACCAATCAAGAGAATAAACTTCCGCAAAACTTACCCAGCAACGAGATGGTAATTATAATTTCTTAATTTATTCAAACAGAAACGACAAATTTTTGATAAACAGATCATAAACATGAATTGTAAATTAAAGAGTTGATGAACCGATGAATGAGCTAATCAATTTTGATTATCTCACCGAAACAACAGCTGAACTAAATTTCGAACACCGCTCATTTTTACTACTAATTGGAGAATTTGTATTTGTGACAAAGCGCACATAATGTTTGGTGATAAATTTCGAGGTATGATGATCTGAATGCAATGAGCAAATTCATAAGAAGAGTTTATTGATAGATGATCTAATCAAAATCAAAATCAGACTCATCAGAATCATCTTCAGGAAGAGAAGAGAATAAATTTTTAAAAAATGAAACTACTTTTTCACCCAGCGGCCAGCACATTTCGCCGTTGACTTGATTTAGGCCTATCCAATATGGAATATAATTGCTATCTTGGTGCAAATCTGAAATTTCGCTTTTTTCAAATAGATTCAATTCTACGATCATCTCCCAGCTTGTTGCTTTCATTCTTTCATTGACTGAATCACAGAAATTTATGTTGAGGAAATATTTTGAATTCTGTGAAGAGCATCGCGGAAAAATCGTACCATCGACGAACTGTTGTTTTAGTGCATCGAAAATGTTGACCAGTTCGGCTTCATCATCCTGGCACGTCCTTGTAGCCTCTTCATGCGGCAAAGCTATAGCATGAGCGAAAACACATTCTCGATAGTTTACACATTGCTCTGTATTCTTGTATTGAACGTACGGCGGTGGACAGAAGCAATTGGCTGAAAATTAGTGCATTTTAGTTCACAATACAGCATTATATTTTAACTAGTACTGTGGCGCTCGTTTCCCTTTAGCACTGAAGAGAACTAAGCGAGTTCTCCTTATCAATGAAGAAAACTATGCGAGTTCTCTTTTGCACTGCAGAGAACTGTGCATTTTAGTTCACAATACACCTATCGTTTGTCATGCTCTTCAACTAAGAAACTTTCTGTTCTCTTCAAGCACAACAACATTTTGGTGAACGCTAAAAGCTTCAAAAAGCTGACCGGAACTGAAAATTTACGTACAATTTTCCGGACATATTGAGTTCTCTTGAAAAACACCTACTGATTTCCTACTCGAAAACCTGGATTCGGTTCGATCAACTCAGTATTATGTATTTGATCTAATAAGTCAATAATGAGGGTCAAACGAATAGTAGTAACAGTGACTATATTGATGAAAACAATAATAATGATAGTAATGGTCAGAATAAATTGAAACGGAAACCTTGGCAAATGAGATGTTTCAAATCCGATGACAGATTGATTGTGTTGTTGATAGCGTAGCAATGTTTGGCGATTTCGATCTTCGGATAATATCCAACACCACCGAATTTAAAGCCAACTGTTGCCAGCACGTTGTTTTCCTCATTCAGCAGTACACTCACTTGACATGGATCATCATAGCCATATCGCTGTTTGTGTTGTCGACCGCTGTGTTAACGCATTGTGACCAGATTAACTCACTTCTCTTTTTTTCTACTGATAACTCATTGATGCTGCTAACTGATTTGATATTGCTAGTCATCCGTCTTCTGATTAACTACTAATGTTCTGATAGTACTGCTCAGCTGATTACAGTAAAGAATTAGTGGGTTGATCCCATACTGAAGATTATGTAAGCAAATTTTTTGAGAATAGTAAAACTTTCCCAAACNAACTCACTGATGTTGCTAACTGATTTGATATTGCTAGCCATCCGTCTTCTGATTAACTACTAATGTTCTGATAGTACTGCTCAGTTGATTACAGTAAAGAATTAGATGGGTCGATCCCGTGCTGAAGATTATGTAAGCAAATTTTTTGAGAATAGTAAAACTTTCCCAAACTTATCTAATTGTAAGCATCTTTTGAATACTTCGGCGAATCGATAGATTCTTTTAGCTGATCCATTATTCATCCAGTTAGAGAGCTAACTTCTTCTTGATAACACTAACTTTTTAATGAGCGGACGGCAAGTCACATCGGTTGCTGAGAAGAGTATAACCATTGCAGGTTGGTGTGCACGAGCCTCTCTCTGCAGCAATTCGTGTGCTGTCAGTAGAGCCCTTAAAATTTTTTTTCCATGAACAAGCTAACTGACTGACATTACTGTATTGAATTGTCAAATCAAAAAGCTTGCTTATCATCCATTCCGCCGCTATATTATCACTTCCAAAAGGGATAGTATCCAAAAGGGATACCGCTATCATTCCTAACACTGCACTTGTTCATCTGTCACCGAATAATGACTAGTGTTGAGTCGCTGTTTGGCGTAGTTGATTGAAACGTTTTGAGAGTTTTGGGAGCATAAAGACAACAGTGCCGAAACGTTATCAAATGACACTACGATCCGTTTACTATCAGTGCACCTACTGTACGCGAACAGTTTTGGGTTATGGCATGATCTCATGAGGTTTGTTCGGTTTTAAGAGCAAGAATTCGGATAAGCGATCAAGTATTGATCAGTAGGAATATCCTTTTGAACTGCAAAATGAGCACTTGTTTTTCTGAAACTAACATTCCAACGTTGAAGTTCATTCCATCACCAACTGGCAATTTCTTTCTTTTTCTCATTAATTTCTTGATCGTATGAATCGCATGTTGTTCATTTCTGAATGTCGTCAGATTGGCTGCTACATAAGGCTAAAAATTAAATCTTTAGGCGGTTTGAAGGCCTCAGTAGTTCGGTTACAACATCATTTTAGCTTTACATACTCAGACAAGGCTCAAGTTTAGCCTCAGGTTGGCTCTTAAGCTTAATCC